ATATATATATATATATATATATATAAAAAAAAAAATTAAATTTTGCACTAATAAAAGTTTATTTGAGTATTTACGGTTCAATTAATCAATTTAATTATTTTTTACTGATATTAGGCATTTGAATTTATCTAATACTATTACTATATGCTAATATAATCGTTGACAGAGTGAAATTATCTAAAATACAAGTAAATGAGAATACTTAGTATTTATTTCAAAATTAATAATTTATTGGGATTGCATGTATATTGTATTGTATGTATTTTTCAATATATGTTTGTGATGATTATTGCTTTATGACTATCAAATTTATATTGTTATATAATTCATTTTGTTTGTTGTAGGGTACGTATAGTTTATTTTATTTTTCTTATTTTTCCTCTCATAGGCTATGCGAAGGAATATGATTCCTCCTTTATAGTTAGTGTGAGAAAACTAAACATTATTTCTATTAACCTTTAATTTATTATCATCGACTTAGTCCATACAATTAGAGTGATTTAGTATAACTACGAACAATAAGTTAGCATGACTAAAAAACTTTGCCTTGTCTTTCTTACCTTAACACGGGGCGGATCAACATGGTGTTCTTCGAGTGCTCGAGCACCCATTAACCTAGTATCGAATTATATATATATATCTATGTAGAAATTAAGAAGTATTGATATATATTAAACGTAGAGTACCCAATGAATAAATAGTTTGTTGGTTCAATGGTTCATAGTGGGTGCTTAAGATTGTTTTGTGCTACTGGTCCCGGGTTTGAATCTGACCCTCAGCATGTATTCTTTTTAATTTTTGAAACCCACTATATTCTTTTTTATTTATAGAAGCCCTTTTACTACTTTTCCTAAAAAAGAAGATATACAAATAAATGTTTTCCTTTCTTAATTATTTAAGATAATAAATACTACTCCCTTCATTCCTAAATAATTGTCATGTTTCACTTTACAAGAGTTAATTCATAATTTTCAAAGCTAAATTAGATTAAAATAATTCAATATTTCAAAAATTAAAATTTTATGTCAAAAACTATACTAGAAATTCTATAAGTTGTAATTTTTCTTATATCAATATAATAAAAAATAAATCTTATAATATTGTTCAGAATTGATATTGTTTGACTCTAGAAAAGGGAGACTATGACAAGTGAAAATGAACAAAGTGAGTAGTTGTTCTTATTGATTTCAAATATGATCACATTTTTATGACACGTGTTAAATTTGTGCACTTATATATATTTTTATGTAAGGGCATGTCTAGGTAGATCCAATGGGGTTCATTTGAATCCTCTTCCGCGAAAAATACACTATTTATATATACTTAAAATTATATTTTATGTATATATAGTAGATGTTGAATACTCTTTGACTTCTTGTGTATTTATTTATGTAACTTTTATATTTTGAACTCACTTAGTGAACAAATTGACTCCATCACTATTAAGGTGAGAACACCCACAACCTTAAAATCCTGGATCCGCCACCGCCTTAACAAATGTATACATGTCCATGATCCTTTTAAATGCAATAAAAAGAGAAAAAACATTTCTTATTAGAGTTTTTTCGTTTTTAATGGTTCAAAAGAATCATATTTAAAATTACTTAAAAGAATTCTTAAATATCAGAAGAATAAATTATTTTATTGATCTTTCCACAAACTTTTTCTAGTTTGTGATGTCGTTCAAATCGTCAGAATGTTACTAGATATAGCCTTCTCCCCAGCAATATAATATGTCAAACATCTACAACACTTTTATAATTCAAGATCGAGATAGTGTTGAAATGTATTGCAAAACGATATTGATATGTTTTGCTTCCTTGGTCAATCAAATCATTATGGATACATAAATTGCTTAAACAAAGGTTATGAATCCATCTTCGTTAGAAGTAATTCTTTTCATTACTTCTAATTAAAGGTCTAGAGACTTCGTAGTCCCATTACACCTCGTAAAAAAAAGCTCCTTTCTTCAAAAATATCTAACTTAAAGTTGGTTATCAAATATATGTTAGATTCGCCTAATTCTTTCTTGCCTTCCCATGAATTCAGCACCAAATGAACCATGCACATGAGTTCACAAGTTACATCTTGCTCAAAAGCAAACACTTTTACATTGTAGAATAACCAAGTGTTTGAGACAAACCAAAAAAGTAGGAAATCAAACTCTAAGTCAAGGACTTTATATACAAAATAGTATAAATATAATTATTTAATTTACTATCGGGTTATCAGTTAACCCCATTAAGAAAAACCTCAAACCATTAAGAACCGATAACCCGATAACAAAAATCAAAACCGTTATCAAAACCGCTAAACCAATAACCCAGTACTGATAAACCAATAAAAAAAAAATTGATTCAGATTATCGATTTAGATTCAATTTTGAACAGCCCTATTTCAAAAGGTTGTCCTATTAAAAACTCTCCAAAATCAATACTTATTTCTAACTCCCCGAAGTATTTCGTCGATTCACCCGAAAAACCTATAATGGACCCCCTCAATAAGAAAAAATAAAAAAAATCCTCTTCATGGCATTTGGCCCACATGGCACATGTCATGTTTGCACAAACAAAATATGACCGTTGCAAAGGAGAGATCTCCTTCTATTAAAAAAACTTAGACATTTTTTTAACGAGTCCCAAATTGCTCCTCCTTCACCCATTTCTCTCTCTTCTTTCTCCCTCTATATTTTAGGGCATCGTATACAGGCAAAAGAGGGATATGGCGATTGCACCGGAGACTCAGCCACAGCAACAGCCGAAGGTAACAATTTTTTCTGACCATTATTAGATGAATAGAAGAGCAACAATGTCAATTTTTGTTTTTTCGTGAGTTAGGGTTTTTAGGAATTTTAACTTACTGAGTTATATGCGTTCTCTATTTGTCATATTTAAATGTTGCTATGCGCTTGAATTTCTGACGATTTTGTTGAATACCATTTGTTGTAAAGAGTTCTTTTTTCTCGATTTTGAATTTAATTGATAGGTATTTTAAACAGAAATGTGGCTATTTTGGGGTGGATCGCTAGTTAACTGAGCACTGTAAAAGGATTTAGGGCAGTGGAGTAGGATTTTCTCATGGAAAATTTTGGCATGTTGTAGAACAAATAAACTAAATGGACTGGTTGACTTTGCTAAGCTTTGTTTTTCATTTTCCTGGACAGTTATCATGGTTATGAAATTCTAAGATTTTCTATGCTTTAAGTTTACAACAACAATAATAACAACATACGTAGTGAAATCCCACAAGTGGAGTCGGGGGAGGGTAGAGTGTACATTGACCTTACCCGAGACCTTTCGTTAAGAATAATACAATATTTACCACTCCACCATAATCCATGTTGATTTATGCATTAAGGTTTAAAAGATAGAAATGTATGTTCTTTTAACTTTTTTTGCATAAATTTTCCCTTTTGTATACTTGGTTGATTAGGATTTTATTTTTTGCAGGATTCCTCTGATGGTGCGGCGGTGGACCAAAAGAGATGGACTCTCAATGATTTTGACATTGGAAAGCCTCTTGGAAGAGGAAAATTTGGTCATGTATATTTAGCTAGGGAGAAAAGGGTTAGTGGATAATTATTAATTTTAATTAATCAACTACATATGCTTCACTGGTTTGGTAATTTGGAATACTATTCATCTTCTGAGTTCTGTAACATTGTTTAATGGGAAATTGTTGGGCATCTGATCCTTATTTTCATCCTTCATGGAAATCAATGTTTTTGAAGTATAAAACAAAACAAACAACAACATACCCAGTGAAATCCCACAAAGTGGGGTCTGGGGAGGGTAATGTGTACGCAGACCTTACCACTGCCTCGTGGAGGTAGAGAGGCTGTTTCCGGTGGTGTTTTGAAGTATAAAACAAAACAAACAACAACATACCCAGTGAAATCCCACGAAAGTGGGGGTCTGGGGGAGGGTAAAGTGTACGCAGACCTTACCACTGCCTCGTGGAGGTAGAGAGGCTGTTTCCGGTGGTGTTTTTGAAGTATAAAACAAAACAAACAACAACATACCCAGTGAAATCCCACAAAGTGGGGTCTGGGAGGGTAAAGTGTACGCAGACCTTACCACTACCTCGTGGAGGTAGAGAGGCTGTTTCCGGTGGTGTTTTTGAAGTATAAAGGAAAAAAGAAATGTATTGTGCTTATTTGTATGTCAGCTTAGATTGTGTTGAACTATTCAGATTTTAGAAAGTTCTTAGCCCATTGATAAAATCCTTCCCTAATCTATATACCTATCCTCCTGTTATTCTTCTTTGTTTATCTAAATATACAATTCATGCTACAAACAATAACGCCTATTATAATCTTAGTTGTTTCATGTAAACAGAGCAATCATATTGTTGCACTAAAAG